TAAGTCTTTTCAGTTATGACATTTCCATTTCTGTTGATCATTGAATTTATCATGTAACTGTAGAAGTATTTAGATGTTATAGTTCTTTATTACTTTTACTTACTTTTGAAAGATCATGATCATTATTTCAACAGTAGAATATAGGAATGCTTGATGTGTTTTAAATCATACATTAGACCTCGGTGTCGGTGAGATACAAAGATGATCGCTCTTTGTTGTTTTCGTTGAGCCACAAGTAAGTAAGTAAAGTTGATTTATCTAGCCCCTTTCACAGACATAACAGTCACAAAGCGCTGAACGACAATTAAGATACAGTGTCAACAGTGAACCATGTTTAAAAACAAATGTCTTGGATTTCTTGGTGTCTGTCTCTGTGCTTCCCCTGTGGTCCTTGTGTTGCGTCTAGTCAAGTTATTTTTTCATGTCTGTGTTTCGCATTGTTTCAAGTGCCTGTCTCATGTTTCCTGTTTTACCAGGACAGTCTCGTGTAATATGTTAGTGTTTTCAGTTTTGCTTCCCAATGTGACCAATTCAACTAAAATGGCGTTTGGTGCTGTACAGCAGTTGCTTTGTTTGCTCTCAATTTTGGCAGCCCTATTAAAGAATAATATCAGTTTTTCCTCTTTTCCTCGACATTTTGCCCCAACATTTCAAAGAGCTGGAAAGTAAATACACGGCAGAAATGACGCAGGTTTCACGCATGCGTAGTACAGGAATCTAAGCGCTTTCAGTGTGGATGAAAACAATTGTACACAGTAGTGTGGACGCGGAGCATTTTTAGACTAAAACGCCATTTTCAAATTTATTCGGATTAGTGTACACGTAGTTTTTGTCTTCCTCTGTTTGTTGCTCGATTGTCTGCATATCACCCACTGAATTTCCCATGACTCAGGTTTTTAGTTTCTTTATACTTGCTTCTAGTTTCCTCCCTGTTTAGGTTTAGTCGTTTTCTTACTGTGCTTTTGTTTGTGTTCAAAAAAAGTCCATTTCCGAAGTCTGCATTTGGGTCCACACTCTCTCCACTCCACATGTCTGCCACAGCAGACACACAACAAAAGAAAATCAGCAAAAAACCTGATTAAATGGAAGAAAACTATTCCTTAAAAGACTCAGTGTCAGCTAAACAGAGCTGGAGTGATAAACTGTTCCATAGCCTGGAAGCTTTGTCCACTCCAGTCTTCACTCTTGTATGAGGTACAACTAATAGATTTTGAGCATGTGAATGGAGGCAACAAGCAGCAGTGTGTTTAAAAAGATGTTTGGGACAAATAGTGTGGAGCTTGTCTATTTAAGATAAGATAAGATAAGATAAGATAAGATAAGATAAGATAAGATAAAACTTTATTAATCCCTCGGGTGGGTTCCTCTGGGAAATTTGGTGGGGAAATTTATTGCTCTGTATGCAATTGTGAGACTCCTAAAATGAATTTTAATATCAACCAAGAGCCAATATTGAGAAAATAAAACGAGAGTGTGTCAGGAATCTGTCTGCAGCATTTTTTATTGCTTGAGGTGTGACAGAGATGATTTAAGCCAAAATGAAAGGCATTACAGTAATCTAAGCGCATAATACAAATGCATGAAAATTTTTTCCCATTTCATAGGAGGAAACTATAGGTTGCAATTTAGAAATACTCCTTAAATAAAAGAAAGAGGATCTTAAGCAAAATTTTATATTTGAGTCAATGTTCAAGGAGGAATCAAATATTACACCAAAATTACCAAGTAAAAAGAAGCAATCATTTGACTGATTCTTGATTGTATATCAGGAGGAGCTATAATCATGGCAGTCTTGTCAGAATTTAAAACAAAGTAATTGTTGGAAAGCCAGTCACTAATGAGATGAACAGTCAACTAGGGTAGACAACCTATCCAGCTGGTGAGGCTTAAAAGACATAGTACAGTTGAATGTCATCAGCATCAAATTAATAAGAAATGCCTGAGAAAGATCGAATAATACCAGCTAAAGGAAGCATGTGAAAGGAGAATAGCAATGGACCCAGGATGGAACCTTGAGGAATGCCACAGGTTAAACCAGCAGTGTAGAAGGAGAATCTGCTTGCCCCAACACAACGTCCTCTCACATAAATAGCAGGAAAACCAATCTAGTGGTGAGCGAGAGTTACCAACCAAAACCTTCAGCCTAGTAATTAAATATTATGGTCAGTATCAAAGGCAGCACTGTGGTCAAGCAACACAAGCACAAAGCAAAAGAATCATTACAGACCTTTAAAAGAACAGTTTCAGTGGAGTGCTGCTTTTGAAAACCGGACTGAAAAGGGTCAGAAATGTGTAGTTTGCATAATAAATAAATAAATTGATTTGACAACTTTATCTAATAATTTGCTAATAAATGGTCATTTTGAAATAAGCCGGTAATTACTAGGAGACGTGGCATCAAGACTAGGTTTTTTAAGTAATGGAATGACCTCAGCATGCTTAAAGTAAGATGGAACACAACCTCGCTTCAGTGAGCTGTTAATGATAGAAAGCAACGAAGGACCCAAAAAGAACAGAGGGATGCAAGATCCCTAAAGATGGTGATGAAGGTTTCAGCTTAACCATTATTCTAACTTAGTCACTTAGTGTAATTGAACAGAATGAGGTAAATGAATGAAAGCACTGAGGGCAATCCCCATTAGGCAAGGAACCTAAGGAGAATTTCGAGCTTAAGTCCATCACCCTATTTACAAAATCATGGAGAAATACATTAAAGTCATCGCCAGAGGCTATCAATGCATGTGGAGGAGGGGAGGATATAATGCTATTAATGGTGTCAGATAACACCCTGGGATTATTTTTCATGATTTTTAATGACAACATTATCATCAAAAGAGGGTTCCCCGGGTGTCTGTGTCCATGTCTGGGTCTGGGGCTTGCTGAGCCTTGGCCGCTATGGGACAAGGTCATGGAGGGTGAGGTTACCCCTCCTTATTTTTCCCTGCTTGATGTTGATGCCCCTCCCCGGTATGCTGGTACTTGTTGGTTCCAGAGCAAGTGGCCGAATGTTCTGGCATTCTGGAGTGGTTGACACAGTTTGGGTGGGTAGGAGCAGTGACTAGGTTCAGACTCAGTTTGACTCTTCTTGTCCTTGTAGATTGAGCGGGTTACTGGCTCCATGCGCAGATGGGCCCCCAGATTTGGGGCATGTCTGCACATGTTAGAATACTCTTTATAGTGGCGTCAGCAGTGTGCCAGCCTTTGGTGCAGCGGTGGTAGGGTGTGCCATTTGCACGGGCCCCTGGTTCAATTTTTTGTTGCCCTGCAGTGTCATAGAGGAAACAGAAGTGCTTACTGAGCCAGCAGAAGTGGCTTTCTCCTTCAAGGGTAGTCAACTGGTCTTAGAGATCCCATGCCTTCTCCTCCTCAACCTCCTCTGATTATCAGTCACTTTTACACATAGGGTCGTGGGGAGGGATGGAACATGTGCCACATGGGTCAAAGTTAATTGGATGAGCACTGTTAACCAGCTGCCACATTCTCATGTCGCATCTGTTCCCTCATCAGTAGTGGTTTAGTCTAGATTTCACACAGTCCTACTCACTATTTACTCGTACTGTGACGTGCACCAACACATGGACCCAAAAGGCCTACCTTTGACACTAACAGCTGTTAAAAGTGGCCTACACCCCTGTTTCCTGCACCCTGTCTTTTGGCGGTGAGGTTGGCTGCTGATCTGGGGCCAGTCTGCCTGCGTCCCAGGTTCACTGCTGGCTGGAGCTAGCACTCCAATGGCACCCTGGGTGGAGATTTTGGCGTTGGCTGGCCTGCTCCCTTGGGATTGTGGTATGGGGAGGCTTGGACCTCTCATCAAGTCGGCTCCGTCAGGAGGTTCTCGCGCCTGGGTTCCCATCCTCAGCTGATGCTGGGAAGGCTGGCCTCTGCCGCGGTTGGCTGCCTGCTGCCTCTGGTTGTCTGGCACTCCTGCCCTTTGGCTGTGGGCCCTCCACCGAGTCCTCCACCAGTTCCTCCCTCTTCCCCCTGCTGGGTTGGACCCATGGTTTTCGTCTAGGTGTGTGACCTCAGGTCTTCAGCACTTCTGGGGTCGGTGTACAGTGTAGCTCTCCTGAGTCTTTGACTGTCTGCCTCTGGCTCCCAGGGGTTTGTATTGCATTCTCTGACCCTCATTATCAAATATGTTGCATGAGAAATGCTCATACACAGAATTTCACAATTTTTCCAATTGTTCTTTCTCTCTCTCTTACACACACACACAGACATACACCGCAGCAAAATTGTATTTTTGTTTGTATACTACCCGTTTTGTATTTCAGGTGCTGTGTGTTTTTTGTTTTGTGATTTTCTTGTGAATGAAGTTGATAAGCACGTGGTTTATAAATATCACACAGTAAGCTATGTAAATCTTCCTTAATGCCTCCCGTGTTGTGCAGACAAGAAAAAGTGTTGGTGAAGTAGAGTCAAGTGATATAGTCCTGATGTCTTGCTGATAAGAAATGCTCCATGTGAGGAGAGTGCAAAATCCAAATCAAACAAAACTGACTCAAAACTATTTTCCGTGCATCATGTCACCTTTAGCATTTTAGGAACTTGCTTTAAGTCAACATTTAGAGAATTAATCAATTGCTGCAGCCAGGTTGCACAAAAAGTCTAGTTGCTAAACTGGTCTGTTTACATAAAAAAATCTGCCACCCACTAAAACCCCCCCAATTCCCTGTGAAATTAAAAAATATCTATATATATGTCTAAGGAGGACAGGTAGTTAAAATCCTATAACAAGTTCCTATGTAAGAAGATCTGATTACCAAAACTAAATCCACTAATTTCCTGAGTTCCTACATGCTCACGTTCCAACTTTTGACTTGCATGTGTTGTGACTGACATCAGTATTTTGGCCCTGCAGTATGTCTAGCCATTGGTGTGGTACAGTAAGACGAGAACAGTCTGATTCTCCTCTTGTGAGTTCAGAGTGTTTTTACAGAAAACCAATCCCACTCACAAAGTCATTATTGTGAACAGACAGCAACAGCTGGAGGACTTACCACTCGAGCAATTGGAGCCCCCCCAGCCTGGCTCACACTGGCAGGTGTTGGGTGCCATACAACGGCCATGAATACAGCTCTCTGTACAATGAGCTAGACATCGAGGAGACAGGGAGAGAGGCCAGGGATCAGCACGGTCCCCCCAAAAAATAACCCATCAAAACACATCTACATTAGAATTAGTCATGTAGTAGTAATCACATAAATGTTCATGTCAAAGACATAAATCTGATTTGTGAAATGGAAACTGGGACTTGCTATTCTTTTTTGAATGCTCTGTGACTTGACTTGACTTAACACTTTAAAGAGTTTTTGTGGCCAAAAACAGAATTGGACTTTTAGAAATTGTTTGCTTTTTCAATAAAATGTCAATGTTTCTTTTAGTTACTTTGTGTTTTCTACAGCTGACTGATTTAAAGAGTTTTTCAAGCAGATTTTTCCTCATGCAAACAAATATTTTTCTTTACAAGAAACTCTAAATACAGTCCTTGTAACAGACAACTCCCATCAAGACTATGATTTATTTTCACTTTCCACTAATACCAAGCAAATGCCACTGATTTGAAAGATTATTACTCTTTTTAAAGCTGGATTTGCATTGATTAACCCACTTCAAACAAACAGATTCTTCTCTCACTTTACACAAACAAAAAGTAATAAATCCTTAATATAACTGATTCCTTCTCCAATACAACTTCCAACAGGAAACGGCATGTTGCCTAAAGTGTCTGGCAAATTAAATGTGATTCTCAGAGCAGCATGTGATGCTTAGGCTACTTATAAAGCAGAGTATTTTCACACTAGAACAAATTCCCCTATGAACTCCTGGGGGACATTAACTGTTTTCTCCCTTCCACCACAGCACACATAACTTTTTCATCACCAACTCTTTCCACCATGAGAACAGGCTGTCTTGACAGAAAGCTTCTTTTTTTTTTTTTTTTACTGCTGTTACAATTGTTAGTTTTGCCAAAGCAACACCTGTCACTGCCTATTAAAAGGGAGGGATGTGGGTTGTGTAATAGCCTTGCTGGGAAGGTAAGTGTGACAAGATATTTGAAAAGAAATATTCATTACAGGATTTAATAAGTGTGATAAATGGCTGTAAGGAAAGTGTTACTAAAAGTTGACCTTAAGCAAAATCACTATTTGTCTCACAGAGCACTGAAACTTGTATAAGATGTCTTCCTGACTCTCTTAGTGTTTAAGGAAATAGCTTGAAATCCTCTAAAGCGATAGAAACATGGCTGGCTGTCTGTGTGTGTGTGTGTGTGTGTTACTCACGAGCACAGATCTCTTCTTTCTCATAGAAGCCCGGGCAGCACTGAGACTTCCTCCGGTACATGGTCTTGTTCCCACTACGATATGCTGTTCTATAGATCATCCTGCAGAAAAGAATTTAAGTCACATACAAAATTAGACCCTGGGTAACCAATTATTTTGTTTTTCAGCTTTTATTATATTATTAAAATGTGTAAAGTGGATCATTGACATTAATAACCAAAAAGCATCATTTAACTCTAACTCTTCTCCAAAGAGAGCAAAACTACTGCAAAATCTACTCTATGTAGTGTTACTAGTAGCTCCTCTTCCGGTCTGAGTTGGGCTTGTGTATTAAAAGCAGTGAGTAAGACTAGAAAAGCTCTATATATAATACTTTTTCAAAGTATTGTATATAGAGTGACCTCTCTCCCAGAGCTCCAGTTTGGTCACGTCTACATGTGTCTTGTAGAGGATCCGTAACATTGTAGCCAGAATGAAAGGTTTCAAATTATGGACAGCAACATGTATTTTGGATTTGGATGGGTAAGTAATGCCACCGTGTAGGAGGTGAAGGACAAGAAATTGTTCATTGTTAAAGCAAAGGTTAGCGCTACATAACTTGCTTAAATAAACTACCACAGGTAAATCTTACATTTTGTTGACTTGGACAATTTAAAGTGCAGGGCCAGAGAAGTTAAGGTAGCATTAATTAGTTACATTGATGTTGTGTGATAACACTAAAGTTGACCTAGTATTTTTCCGATGTTGGGTAAATCATTCCTACAGTTTAAATGAGCCGCCACTGACAACCTGGGTTGCTGTGGAGAAGCAGGGATTGGTGCAATTTGTCCTGTAAGGCAGGATTATGAGAGGTGTGCTAACGTGTTGGTGCCATACTCTACCCTACCCTTCTGAAAGGTGTAAATAAATGGTGATTAGTGCATCCATTAGCCAAAATGCCAGGTAGTTGCTAGGGCCACAGTACTTGATGCATGTTCAATCATCCAGGTAAGTAAATCCCAAAAAGCTTATTCTGTTCTCTGGACGTAACTTTTTCAGTGGAAGAAATATTTAATCACTCATCCAAGTGATTTCTGCAGTCTCAGCTGACTGCAGGTTTCCCCAACCCTCTGAACAGTACATTTGAATGAAACAAGCTGAAACTAACACCACTGACTAACAATAGGGGTCAGTTTCTTTATCATTAATACTGTCATGATGACGAGTGCCATTCATCGAGAGTTGGGGAATGGCTGCAATTACAGCACTGTAAGATATTGAAAGATGTACCCTTAAGCACACAAACAGTAATATAGTGAACAGTGTTAAGTGCCAGGAGGATTGTTGTGATTTATACATCAGGGATAACAAGCAACCTCTGGCTAAGCGGATGGCGCAGCACAGAAGAGCTAACTCGTCAGGCCAGGACTCTGCGGTCTATTTACTACTACAGGCCAGTGGACACTCTGTCAGTGATGAGGATGTATCCCACATCCTGGACAGGGAGGAATGCTGGTTTGAGCAGGGAGTCAACAAGGCCGTTTACATGAAAATAGAAAGACCATCTCTGAATCGAGGAGGGGGCCTAAGGGTACATCTTTCACCATCTTACAATGCTTTCTGTGGATGCAGGCAGGATTGGACACAAATATCACAAAGGCAGGTGACAGAGACAGACAGTGGGAGCAGACAGTAATGGTCAGAAATTTGGTGGGAGCAGAATTCAAAAAAATAGTCTTGTTCAAGGCTCTAATTCCCAGATCCTCTTGTCTGCATGTTGACATGTCCCCGGGCAAAATACTGAACCCCAATTTGCATGCATTGGCATGTGACTGTCTTAATTGTTAGATAAAAGTGCTGTATGAATGTCAGTGTAACTGGGTGAATAAAAGGCTCTATTTAAGTTCCAGTCCATTTAGCATGTCTACATTCTTCTGTAAATTTTGTCTTTATTATTACAACTTTTATTTGGTAAAGGGGGTAAGCCACTTTCAGACCTTGTTTTTGACACTGGCAAATGAGACCACAATGAGGTAAATATACAGCGACAATGTCTGATTTAAATAAACAAAAAAAGAAAAACAACAGGGAAAAACTGTGATACTGCCATTTAATCAAACCCATTATCACCACACATTTCCATACGTATAAAGTATCATTTTAATTGGTTCTTACCTGTGTTTGGTGCACTTAAACCAGTTGAGGATGTCAGTGCAGCTGGTGTAATAAATCTGATTAAAAGAATGGGCATATGACTCCTGCACTGTCACAGAGTAACTGAAACCACAGAAAGTGAAAAAAGAAAATGGATATGAGACATGAAACCAGTGTGTGGCTGATGATAGTTCATGACTGCCTCATTAATCGTCTCTGTTCAATTAGTTGATTTACTTCAAAAGAGATTGACACACAATAGATTGACACTCAACCAACTTTTATGTCCTTAAAATACCCGAGAAAACTAATTGCCTGTTTGTCCAAAAGCTTTGTTTTCTTAGAAGAGATAATGATACAATAAATAGTTTATAAGATTAAAAATTATAGGTCTTAACATCTTTATGCTATGCCTGCAGGGCAACCAATTGAAGTTATTGGCCTTCATATAGAAATATAATTATATATATAGGTGTCATTTGTTTAACAATGGAAATGCATATGGTTTCTAATATCTTGTGCAAACTGTTACAGTGCTGGATTTATATATTAAAGTGAGCCAGTCAAAAGCTCAGGTTTCAGCTTTCGGTTTCAGCAGAGAGCAAAAACTGAAAGTACTCTGCAAACAAAGTACTCTGCAAACAAAGTACTCTGCAAGTTTTGACAAACCTTGACAGAGAAACTTTTTGTGTTCAGCCTTGTTTTGAAGATATGTTTCTGCGTTATGAGGCTGAACAGAACAGATTCTCTGTAAGTCATGTAAGTCTCATCAGTAACCTCTACAGGTAAGTCTGTGTGTGCACAAGCTCTAGTAACTGTGTCTTTAGCATTCAGTGGAATGATGGTACTATAATTAGGAAAATGAGCGATGCTCAGCTTTACTGGGATAGTCATGAACATAAAAGTTTTTTTTTCATCCTTGCAAATGGAAAAAACAGACTGCTAAGTATTGACACTTTAAACACAGCTTAAGAAAGTTATCAGGTTGATAATACATTTCCACTGTTAGTGCATTAGCATGTAGTGTTAGTATCAGGGGCGTAATGTTACGGCGATGCTTAGTATAGTCTGGAGGTGGGTAAAGGACACCTAATGCTGAATGCCTTTATTGCCCTTTATGGGCTATTATCTTGACTAACCTCTCCCAGTGGCTGCAGACATTGGGATCCTCTAGGTTGAGGGAGGAAGCGATGCAAGGCAAGTTACAGAAGACTACAGTCAGCAAGACTGTCCTGTGGAGCAACAGTGATGTAGTCATCTCTGTGAGGGCTGCACCTTAAGACAAGGAAGAAGGAGAAAACACCATTTAAGTTTCTGTTGTCTGAAAGACATTCGGTAAACTCTGATGATTGTAAGCTACCAACAGTCCCTCGGGGGTATTTATTTATGCAATTACTTATTTTTGTACTTATGTCATTCTGAAATTTCCAAATCCAATATCATTGTCAATTCCTAATACATCTGTGCTTTACTATGTTTGTAGTCTATATGATCCTGTTTAATTTTGTTCTCGACATAATTGTTAAAAGTCAAAACCAACTACAATGTTTAGATTCTGCTGAGATCTGTACTTTTCTGTACTTTTCTCATTTACCATTTACACTCTCAGGGTGTAAATGGTAGATAGAAAGCACTTAGATGTAAAAAGTGCTTGTGTGAATGGATGTGAATGAGGCTTTGAGTGCTCAAATAAAGTAGAAATGTGTTATATAAGAAACAGTCCATTTACCAGAAGTATGAACATGTATTTGACACGATTAATTATATTGTAACTGACATAATTTGACTTTAACATAGATCCTGTTTTAATCAGCTATTCCAACCAAACGCTTGAGATACAGAATCTGAACTTTTCAGCTGATACAGATGTGTACAAGATTGTTTGCCCACCTATGAAAATTTCTTTTGTGCAGGGAAACAACCCAGACCCAGTTTTTGCTAAATCACTGTTTGAGGTTTTCTTTCAAAATCTCTACAATTTTCTTTCCTCGTGGTTCTTTACGCTTTGATGTGAACCTGTTCCCACCAAAGCATTCCCACAGCATAATCCTCCCACTACTGTGTTTCACTGTGGGGATGCTGTTCTTTGGGTTGAACACCTCTCCCCTATTTAAGCATAAATATAAGCAGGGTCTCTGCCAAAGAGCTCTTGTTTTTACATGGACCAAAGAAGGCACTTGCAGTATGCATCATCTTTCTCCAGATTGTTCTTAGCGTAGTAAGGAAGGACTTGCAGCTCTCTCAATTGATTTCACATGCAGACTTTAAAATACATTTAACCCTTTCACACACAGTGGTCACTACAGTGCACAGCTATTCAAAGGCTGTTTTCTTGTATTTGTGTCAGTGTTGATAGTATACTTGCACATAAACCACTACATTGGACACTGGTGCGTCAATCCATACCCTGCCAGCCACTCCAAAGGTGATGTTGTCCACCTAAGTGGACATGTAAAAAACTCTTTGAAAAGTACATGTTTAAAAAAATGAAGGCTTAAAGTGAATAAAAATACTTAAGAAAAAATCCCGATTGAGGTTTCATGCATGAAAGGGTTAAATGATTTTCTGACATCATTACTGGGAACTTGTTCTTGTTTTTAATATGACTCTTAGTTATTTTAATGTGGTTTTTTAATTTTAATTTTATTATGCTGTCTGACACAGGTCTCTCTTGTAAACGAGATGTTGAGTCTTAATGACAATGAAGACTCAACCGGTATAAAAAAAAGTTTTTCTTCTTGGTCTGCAATTTCACAATCCATTCCTGTCAGGGTTCTGTTCAATTCACTTCAATTTTATTTATACTGTCATAAATCACAACAGTCACCTGAAGGTGCTTTATATTGTAAGGTAAACACCCTACAATCAAAGTTCTAGCGTCTTGTCAGTTGTTCTGACAAGTTGTTCTATATATAAATCTATTACATTGTGAGCAGCAACAAATTTCTCAAGTCTAAAAATTTATTTTGTTTTTGACAAAAAAACCCAAACAAGTTCGGCACATGGTGAGGGATGCCAAACGCCGGTATCGGGAGCATCGCTTCCACCAGGGCGACACATGGAGCATGTGGCATGGATTGCTCACCATCACAGATTGCAGTTTAGCTGCTCCATCACTGAATTTATTCTCACCTCCTTTAACACTTTGGCATACTGCTGCCACTGCAAAGGACAAAGGCAGACTACAGCATGTAATCCACTCCACTGAAAAGGTGAATGACTGCAATCTGCCTTGCCTACAAGACATGTACTCCACAAGAAGACGTCGGACTACGTAACAACACCCCCTCACTTAACATGTTACAACAACACACTTATTTACTCAGGCTACAATAACTTTCCCACTGGAAATACATGCACTTTGCACACACACACACACACACACACACACACACACACTTCTTAAGGTAGGTAGTTAGTGTATATTCCTGATGTATTTATTTATATTAATATTTATTTTGAGATGTATATATTATATATATATTGTCCATCCATCCATCCATTCGCTTCCGCTTATCCATTTCAGGGTCGCGGGGGGCGCTGGAGCCTATCCCAGCTGTCATAGGGCGAGAGGCGGGGTACACCCTGGACAGGTCGCCAGTCTGTCGCAGGGCTAACACATAGGGACAGACAACCATTCACACTCACATTCACTCGCACATTCACACCTAATGGCAATTTTGGATTATTCAATTAACCTATCCCCACAAGCTGCATGTCTTTGGACGGTGGGAGGAAGCCGGAGTACCCGGAGAGAACCCACGCAAACACGGGGAGAACATGCAAACTCCTCACAGAAAGACCCCAGCCTGATAGTGGAATTGAACTCAGGACCTTCTTGCTGTGCGGCAACAGTGCTAACCACCGTGCCACCCTGCTGCCCTATATATATTGTAAATACCATATATTCTATTTCTGTACCATTGGTTTTTTTGCACCACAAGACCAAGATCATGGATGACTAAGCCGCTGCAAAAAATGTACCACAGACACATAGAGGAAATCCGTGACATAAAGAAATCCTACCAGTGGATAGAAAAGGCTTGCTTAGAGGCCAGCACAGAGGCAATGATAATAGCAGCACCAGAACAGAGCCTAAACACAAGATCCAGACATTTACCAAAAGCAGCACAAGAAAATAGAGAAGTACTAGGGGCTGAAAGAACTGCTGCTAGAAGGTATAGTCCAAATTGGTTCTTGCGGTAATAAGAGTATTAAGAGCCAGGCACAACACTGGAGGTCTCTATACAGAATAGTGCAGTCCTAGGAACAACTAAGACAGTGCGCAGAACCCTCTAACGCCCATGTCTCTGGTTGAGGACCCGAGCTCAAGGATCAAGCACATACCACCCCCAGAAGAAGATTTTAACATTACGTGTTTTTACAGATAGAAGGAAATTGTGAGTTACTTTTGCAAGATAAGTTTGCCGATGCACAAAATGTGCCTAAATAGAATACTTTAGGTAATAAGTTTATGGGTAACTTTTTTTAATCTAACAAACAAATATAGATATGAAAAGAAATAAACTAAAATAGAAAACAGCTGTAGTCATGTTGTTTTTCATACATATCAGCATCTTCAGTGGGGTTTATTGTGAACATTTAAAAAAGACTTTTGATGAGTTTGGCTAGCAAAAAGTTCTCACGTTTACTCATTTTTATCAGTCTGATAGTTTAAAAGTGTGGCAGGGTGTGGTTTGTGAATCAGCTGCAGGGGAGGAGTGGAGCAGTGGTGTCAGGGTGTGGTGTCAGGGGAGGCTGACGCACACCTCAGCTCCATCAGCTGATCATGTCTCCCATGTAAAAGATGTGCTGGGACTTGAAATGGTGCGTTGTGTGTATGTAGCAGCTGAAAAGCTGCAACAAAAAATCCCAAACAATAAAACATCTAGCAACGTGCAAGCTGTGTGTGTGTGTGTGTGTGTGTGTGTGTGTGTGTGTGTGTGTGTGTGTCCTCATTCATGTCACAAAAAGTTAATCAGATTCTCAGAAAAAATGAGTGGACATATTGTTATGTTTCCTTTTGTGAATGCTGTCTGTAAACAAATTAATGACAAATTATTTTAGCTCTAACTTCTGTTATCTGGGTTCTCGAGAAAGTTAGAACTCAAAATGTGCCACTTCTGCACAGGCACAATTCACACACAGTGATCACAAATATTTAATGATCTTTATAGCTACCCACCTTGCAAAACACAAACTTTATGATTCAACACCCTGTGACACATTTAAGGGACATATGTAAATTGTACCAAAAAAAGAAAGAACTGGGTTACAGTATACTCAAATGGGAATGTGTTTGTAGCCTGCAAACACACCATTATTTTTTAACTTATTTGTAGTCAAACTGAAATTAGGCTTAAACTTCCCTTCAACTCTCCCCACCACTAACTATATTTAAAACACATAAAACAAAGTATCATCAGTTTAGCTAAACTAATAAATTTAGAATTAAATACTGAACATCAACCTCAACTCAAACCTATACTATAAAGAAATGGTGTAAGATCAGTGAATCAAAATTGTGCTAAACACCCATTCAAATTATCAATGGTTAAAATCTCCTTAAGAGTTTCTAGAATTTGTATAAGAGTCCAAATTAAGTATGAATGACCTTTTTTAATAGTACACAGACATTAAATGACTAGCGCATCACACTTCATGGCAGTGGTGGCCAAGCAAAATCTTTTGAGGTCAACACTTCTGGCCAGCCTTCTTTCAAAAATACTGGCTAATGGAGTAAGCCTACAAGATGTCTCTAGTAGCTGTATGGGTAGTAACATTGTGTCTGTTCAGGCAGTGTATTGGATACTGGAGCCAGTCATCTCTGATTTCATTCTGCTGAAAGTGGGCACAGCTGCACTGACCAATGCTGAAATCCTCCCCACCCCAAGACAACTGCACTGCTACGCACATAAGGGCTATGCTGTATGCGTGAAAGAGCTCCAGGCACAATGCTAATGAAATGGATTAAGCTAGGCTGCATAACTTTGATATACTAGCAGTCAGGCAGCACAGCATTGATGGCTCTCTCTATGCACAAAGGAATTCCAGAAAAGCAGATCTGCTGCTTGAAATCCCTGAAAAAAACAGTCAGGCTTTAGCGCAGTATTTATTTGCAAACACATGCAATTTTGACGTCAATTCTCTCTTTTTAGAATTGGT